TCGAGAGAGGTTCTCCTTCCTCTCTATTCTGTGGTGATGAGACCGCATTTGGAATATTGTGTCCAGTTCTGGGCCCCTCAGTTCAAGAAGGACAGGGAATTGCTTGAAAGAGTCCAGTGCAGGGCCACAAAGATGATTGAGGGAGTGGAGCATCTCCCTTCTGAGGAACAGCTGAGGGAGCTGGGTCCCTTCTTTAGCTTGGAGAAGAGGAGACTGAGGGGTGACCTCATTAATGTTTATAAATTTGTAAAGGGTGAGTGTCAGGAGGAAGGAGCCAGGCTCTTCTCAGTGACAGCCAACGACAGGACAAGGGGCAATGGGTGCAAGCTGGAGCATAGGAGGTTCAATCTGAACATAAGGAAAAACCTTTTTACTGTGAGAGTGGCAGAGCACTGGACCAGGCTGCCCAGAGAGGTTGTGGAGTCTCCTTCTCTGGAGACATTCAAGACCCGTCTGAACGCATTCCTGTGTGACCTACTCTGGGTGATCCTGCTCTGGCATGGGGGTTGGACTGGATGATCTTTTGAGGTCCCTTCCAGCTCCTAATATTCTGTGATTCTGTGAAATTCCCTGCATAGCTCAAGACATAATCTGAGGAATACTTTCCTGCTCCTTTTTCCTCTCTGTGTTAAGATAGTAAGTGCTGCTTAGCTTCCGTGCAGTGTTGATTGTATTTTCAGTGCTGAAAGGCATAATAAAGCTCATTAATCTTGTCTGTCACATGGATTACTATATTGCTATGATATCTTCAACAACCTTAAGTATGTTTCTGTACACAGACACAGTGCTGTGGAATCTGTCTAAAATGTCTTTTGTTCCCTCCTAGTCCAACAGTGAAAGAGCTAAAGAAGCAGCATTTAATAGTTTTGAGAAATTATCTCATGTCTTGGAAGAAAAGAAATGTGCTGCTCTTAGGGCAATTGAAACTTCTAAGAATTTAAGGCTGGAAAAATTGCAAACACAAGTGGAAGAATATCAAGGACTCCTGGAAAATAATGGCCTTGTAGGATATGCTCAAGAAGTGCTTAAAGAAACTGATCCATCTTGTTTTGTTCAAACAGCAAAACAGCTTCATGTCAGGTATCTTAATTATCTTCTATTTGAAGTACAGTTACTATTCCAGGATGTCTGGTCAGTCACTCTTTTGACACATGCTAGTAAGGTACTGAATGCAGTACCTTGTGTTGCAGAGGCTCAGAGATGGTTGCAGTACTGTTTGGTAGATATTACTACATTGCAGTATGCATTAATAAACAGCATACAGGAGGGGCTCTCTTCTGGGAAAACACTTAGCCGTGTTCAGTAGGACTGCAGTGGAAGGGTAGCCCATTCAGTTTACTGACACATTCCTTTGCTCAAGTATTTGCAAGTTAATCTAACAGGTCTCTTCTGGATTTAAACTCTTTGATCTTAATAGTTGTTCTCCATTAGTGCTTCACACCTATTTTGTTCTTTCAACACAATGCCCCAAATAGTTAAAATGCTCTGCCAACTGAATGATTGCCTGTTTGTTATCTTTACACTAATGTACAAAAAGGCCTTTAAATTTGCCATTTGAATTCTGTCTAGAGAGACACAAATTCCTGGGAGACTTCAGTAAGTACATGAAAACAGAACCTTTTCAAAGCAAAAACTAGCATTTTTCCTTTAAGGAATGCACACGTTAATTCCCTCTTCTCTCTCCTGCCATCCCACTGCTTCTGTGCTTTCAGAATCCAAAAAGCTACTGAATCTCTGAAGAACTTCAGGCCAGCAGCTGAAACTACTTTTGAAGACTTTGTGGTGGACATAGCCAAGCAAGAAGAGATCCTTGGTGACTTGTCCTTCCATTCTAATGGTAAATTGCAAGACCATCAAGTGTTTCTCAAGTTATGGCTTTAAGTGCTTCTCTGGAAAGAGGCAAAACATAGGGCAGCAGTTGCAGAACTCAACCTGTCTTGTGTCTTGTCCCTTCTATCTCTGGTAGCAATGCTAGCTTCAGCTTTGGTAAAGAAGCTAAGATGCCATTGCATTCAGTACCAGTTTACATTTGCTTCCAGAATATTATCGTTAAGTATTACTAGGTCTTTCTAGAAGCTTTTATGTTTTCTATATTTTTTTAGCTGCCAGCAAAATAAATAATACAACTTTCAAAGTAAAAACAGAAAGTAAGAGATTTAAGTTCATGAGCAGAAACATCCTCATCTGCATTCTTTAACTGAGTGGGTCAGATTTCACACACACACAGACACTGTGCTATAGCTACTCAACAAAGGGCTCATATGGTTATTTCTAAAGCAATGTGTATCTAAATTTGTTTGTTTGTTTTTCTCTTGAACCTCTGGCATGCTAGATCTTGAAATACCAGAAATCAATGAAGAGCAGAGCAGAATATACAACAAAGCTCTGATCAGTTGGGAATGCCCCAGAAAGACAGACTCAGCTGATATCTATGTTCTTGAGTATTGTAAGCTTAACACGGAAGAGGAGAGTGCAACGTGGCAGGAGATCGAAGTTTGCTGCAAGAGCAAAGTAATATCTAATCTTGATGATGACAGCAGCTATGCCTTTAGAGTTCGAGGATATAAAGGTTCCATCTATAGCCCTTGGAGCCGAGAAGTTATTTTGCGTACACCTCCAGCTCCAGGTATTGGGTTTTCTTATGTCCACAAGGTGCTGAATCTGTCTGTCAGTGTTAAGAGCTGTACATGGTTTTCAGACTTCTACTATACTGTTACTGGTTGCATAAACACTGTTAACAAGCAGATTAAGTAGGTAGCACACTGAGACTGTGTTAGCTTGCATGAATACCTTGTAGCCTTAAAAAGGGAGAGATTCTAATGCCAGTATGACTTAACATGTAGCTTCTAAGTACAGAAGGGCAAATAACTAAGAGGAAGTTTTTTGGGATACTGTTTTTCAGTTTTCAGTTTTCTTTTTGATGACAAGTGTGGGTACAACAGTAATCATCTCTTGCTGAATCCAAGAAGGACCTCTGTGGAAAGTAGGGCTGGATTTCCTCTACTGCTGGGATCTGAGCGCATGCAGGTCGGATGCTACACAACCCTGGATTACATCATTGGCGACACTGGGATTGCCAAAGGGAAGCACTTCTGGGCTTTTCGTGTGGAAGCTTATTCATACCTGGTGAAAGTGGGAGTTGTTTCTAGCAACAAGATACAGAAATTGTTTCATAATGCCCACGATGTGACCAGCCCAAGGTAAATTGCACTCTTGCTTAATATGTGTTTTATATAACGAGATGCCTTTTTAAAAAAGAAATGAAGAGCGAGTCTGGTCCCAGTTAGTGAACAAGGTGAACCTAACAAGTGGAAAGTGGCTTGAGGGATATGGTGTAAGCAGGTTGTCCTGTTCATACCCTACTGTTAGTAGAAAGATATTCTAATTATACAGTGTTCTGTTTCCTTTCTTTTTGAGAAGAAATCAGGTTCCTATAGGTGTCAGGATGTGTCAGTTGAAGGTAAAAAAAAAACCAAACATCAGTTGCAAGACTGAAGCAATGCTTAATTGTCAATAGTAAGACTCTGCCTTAACTCCCTTAGCATACTAGGTTTGGCAGCCGTTCAGATGGTCAATGTTCACTATGCGTATCTGTGTATCTTTCCTGTAACTTGCATCATGGTGGATTCTGAGTCACTGTCTTATCCCAGGCTATATGCTGCATATGGTACTGGGGAGCTACTGCGCACAGGCCAAAGTACAGTGAACAAACCAGCAGAAAGATTTCCAGCCCTCAGTTACAGTTGTAGTAAGCCTAGAGGTGTCTCTGAATTGCAGGCTGGGAGGTTATCTCCTGGGGACTCAGATCTTTTTCAAGAATCTAGCAAATGTATTGGCTTCTTTCTGTATAACGTACTGAAAGTGTAAAATGCCAGTACCTTGAGGTGCTTAAAGTCAGACAGAGCCTGTTTGCAAAATGAGAAATTATATCCTGATACCTTGATTTCTTTTGCCTTATCCACACAAATATCTGGAAAAATTTTGCTCACACACGTCCAACCTCCTCCTAACCCACCCCCAGAAACACAAACCTAACTAGAGATTGTTTGCACAGAAGAATATGTGCTTCTCTCCTCTGTCTTCTCGTGGGGACAGAAATAGGGGGAAGAGCATGTAATCTGAACAAATCTGGCTACAAACTTTCCCCAGTAACCAGCTGGGAAACTAGGATTTCCAGGGGAAACCTCCAGGCAGAACACCTAAGAAAAAAAACTCAAAGAAACCTAACCGAACCAAAAAATCTTAAACCACTACTTCTTGTGTTGTGAATTTTAATACATAATGTAACAGACTGTTCTCTATAAACAATGTAATAGAGCAGCAGCATGAAAAACTCATAGGACAACAGTAATGTTAAATTTATTTACTGGTGCCATTAAACATTATGTAAATAAACATATATTGTTTGTAATAATTAGTCATTCGCTAAATTACTTCCCAAGTTAACTAATTTACTATACCTGTAGGTTCATTAATGATTTCCCAGTATGAGTACATTTAGATACATCTGCTCCTTAGTAAAGCCTTCTGTGGTCTCGTCCTCATTAATGTTAAGCTGTTACAGTTCAAGGTGGCCCAGGTGAGTGTCCTCCACCTGCTAAATGCATTTTCCATCTTCGCTTAGGTGTATTTTTACCCCACAACGTTTTGTGGGTGATTGTGTGGTGGTACCTGTCTTAGAAAAATGTTTCTCTAGTTCACATCACTGCCTCCACTTCAGAAATTTACATAAGCAAATGACTGTTTTTCTGTTCTAGATACGAACAAGACAGTGGTCATGACAGTGGGAGTGAAGATGCCTTCTTTGACTCATCACAGCCTTTCACACTGATCACTTTAGGCATGAAGAAGTTCTTTATCCCCATGACGCCCGGTGCCCCCAAGGATCCAGCAAGCAGAATCCTTCCCTTGCCATCATGCTTGGGCATCTGCCTTGACTGCAACAAAGGCAAGGTGGAGTTTTACGATGCAGGCCGTATGAAATGCCTTTATGAGTGCAAGGTGGACTGCTCTGGCATAATGTATCCAGCATTTGCCTTAATGGGTGGCGCGGCAGTTCATCTTGAGGAAGCCATCACAGCAAACTACAGGGAGTACCACGACGACATCTAGTGCGGTCATCTCTTCCCATGGCTCCTCTGAGATGGAAGATGACAGCAGAAGAATAACAGTCCAGACACTTCTACACCAGTGGGAAATGCTCTTCCAGGAACTCTCCTGCCTTTTGTGTGATCTGTGCGATGCTTTTCTCTACAGACTTTCTTTCCATGAGGAAGCAGGGAAGAAGTTTGACTAGCAACCAAAATATTCTTCAGGGGTAGAAATCTGCCTTTTATGTAACTGAAATCCTTACATAGTTTTGCATTTAATGAAGTCAAAGTTGACAGCGTGTAATGGCAATTGTCCTTTTAAGAAATCTGGCTCAGTGCCTCTGAGAGGTCAAATGCTTTCCAAATAATTCCTGAGCACAAAATGACATTTTCAGAAATACAATAAAAAGCAGGGAGAAATCAGAACTGCAGCAAAATCTTTAGGTTGTGTTGGGAAAGAGAAGAATAAACTAGAACCTGGTTGCATGTCATACACCTTTGATGTGACTGTAAGCTAAAACTGTGACACCTAGTGTCGTATAGTTGGTGGCATAATGGTAAGTTTCTTTCATCCAGGCTTTTACTATAGGCTGTATGAAATACTAAAGTGCAATTCGACATTAAACATTAGACTTCAGAGTCCAAAATCAGAAGAGTCTGCATGTGTAAGTAATAGTACTTGGTATTTAGGCAAAAGAAAATGAGATATTGACATAGGTAATAATATGTGAACTTTAAAAAAAACATATATTTCTTTTAATACTTGTTTCTTTAAGTTATTTTTTTTATTTAGTAGCAGCTTGGTTTTTTTAGTAAGAATGTTAAAAATGCACTGATTAAGTTTTGAGACCCAGTTTCTGCCTTAAATGATGTCTCCCTCAAATTTCTGTTCCTGTCATGTTAAAAACTGTATCATTAGTAGTTTTTCATAGAATCATGAACCATAGAATGGTTTGGGTTGAAAGACCTTTAAAGATCATCCGGTCCAACCCCCCTCCCATGGCCAGAGACACCTCCCACCAGACCAGGTTGCTCAAAGCCCTGTCCAGCCTGTCCTTGAACACTTCCTGGGAGGGAACATCCACAACTTCCCTGGGCAACCTGTGCCAGTGTCTCACCATGCTCATCGTTAGAAATTTCTTCCCTATATCTAATCTAAACTTACTCTCTTTCATTTTAAAACTGTTGCCCCTTGTCCTGACACTACAGGCCTTGGTAAAATCTCTCTGTCCATCTTTTTTTAAAGTCCTCTTTATATATTGAAAGGCTGCAATAAGGTCTCCCCAGAGCCTTCTCTTCTCCAGGCTGAGCAACCCCAACTCTCTCAGCCTGTCTTCACAATAGAAGCGTTCCAGCACTCTGACTGCTTTTGTGGCCTTCCTCTGTACCTGCTCTGTGCCTGGGCCCCCAGAGCTGGATGCAGTATTCCAGGTAGGGTCTCTGGAGAGCAGAGAATCGCCTCCCTTAGCCTGCTCTCCACTCTTCTTTCTATGTAGCCCAGGATACCATTTGCTTTTGGGGTTGCAAGCACACATTGCTGGTTCATGCCAATTTTCATCCACCAGAATCCCCAAGCCTCTGCAGGGCTCCTGTCAATCCTTCAGGTCCCTCTGGATGACATCCCTTTCCTCTACCGAATTAACTGCTCAGCTTGGTGTCATCTGCAAAGTTGCTGAGGGTGTGCTCAATCCCACTGTCTATGTTGTTGATGAGGACTAAACAATAGTGGTGCCAGTACAGACCTCTGAAGGGACACGTTACTCTTTCCACTTGGACATTGAGCCATTGACTATAAGTCTTTAGACATGGCCGTCCAGCCAATTCCTTCTGCATTGAAGAGTCCATCTGTCAAACCTGTATCTCTCCAGTTCAGAGGTAAGATTGTTGTGGGGGATTGTATCAAAGGCCTTATGGAAGCCCAAGTATATGACATCTGTAGCTCTTATTTTGTCCACTGATTCAGTTACTCCATCGCAGAAGGCCACTAGATGGGTCAGGCACAGTTTGCACTTGGTGAACTCATGTTGGCTGTCTCTGATCACCTCCCTGTCTTCCATTTGTTTTGACATATCTTCCAGGAGGATCTATTACATGATCTTACTGGGCATGGAGGTGGACTGCATCTGTTTGTAGAAATCTACATTAAAAATATTTGGATACTTGCACTGTTAACTTGTGTTGTGGAAAAATAAGGATCTAAAGTGAAGGATGTTTCTAATACATACTTGGTGCTTTCTCATTTGGGGATATGCTTTCTGATTTGGGGATAGTGTTGCATCTTGATGAATGTGTGTGAAGTATGCTTAGTAAATACATGTATACAACTGTAGAGCTATGAAATGGGACCTGGAAATCCAATACGCTTAAATGAATGTAGATCATAATGCAAAACCTTCATGGGCTTTGCTGTCTGAACTGTCATACTGATCTGACCTGAAGTCCACCCCTCCCAGTATCCTCTCTCCTAAGCCTCTGTCCAATGGCCACTGTCAGAAGAAATTGCCAGAAGTGGTAATTGGCAAAAATGTCATCTGCGTCAAGGTGAGCATGACAGCCCTTTTGGAGCTAAGAAAGGGCCAACAAGGACACCTTCTTGTCTGGGACTCACTTGCAAATGTTTTTGCCTTAGTAAGACACTGTGAATTATGTTTGACAGCTTCATTGCATGCTTGTCTGAGAAGGCAGCAGGTGTGAAGCAGTGGGTGTCTTCTGGAACTTTCTCCTGCAGGATAAATGGCAAATTGTTCTTCACTAGTTATCCCTTAGGTCATTTCTTTTTTTAGTAGTTGGTTATCATAGCCTTCCTTTCCATTATGCCCTCCCCTTCAGTTTCCTTTTGCTGGATGGAAGCTATTCTGTACTGGTGGCGATCCTGCTGCCCCTGTTTCTCCTCTCACCTTCCAAGGCTGACTGACGGAGCCCTCCAGACAGACATTCTCTGACTGTGAAGGAGGATAAAATGCTGCATTTTCCTTCTTTCCATAGTCCTAAAATGGTGTTTGCCTTTTTGGTTGATACTGAATATTAAGCTGAGGTTTACAAAGTTTCTACTGCAGTTTTCCACGCAGTCCTGATGGTTAGTTGTAAACCAGCTGTGCGCATGGAAGGTTTCTTCACCTCCTGTGTTATTTTGCATTTGTTAATATTGAGTTTCATCTGCCTGTTTACCTAGTCACTTAGTCCTGAGGGCCTCTGCAGCTTTTCAGTCACTTCTAGACTTGAATGGTCCTGAGTAGCTTTATAGGTAACTCAAAAGTGATCTCTTATTTTGTTTGCTTGCTTTTCCAGATCTTGAAGCAACTTAAGTTGTAGTGAGATGCAGCAAATCTCTTTCTGCTGTTCAAATTTATTGTTCCTTCCACTTTTTCCCCCCTCAGACATTTTTTAAACCATGATTAGCTAGTTAAGTACTGAAAACTTTTAAATGCTAGTACACATTGTTGAGTAGATGACTGATTTCTTGTGTGTGGGAGCCCAGCAGTCAAATAGACCCAGGAGACAGGATTCTCCTTCAATAGCTGTGACTTCTCCCACTGTATAATCACCATTTTTCTGTTCATCTACCAACCCTAGTATCAGCTTAAAGATATAGATTATAGGCTTGAACTTTATGTTTTGTTGTTCCCAGACCAAATCTCCTGCAGAAAAATGTATCATTTTTTATTCCTCTGTTTCAGAAACTGGTCTAAATTAGAGGTTAAATGTCAGGGTTAGCACTTCACAGTTCCACATGAGTGAGACTCTTTATATGCATCTGGACCAATGTCACCAGCCTTTGACCTTTTTTGCTTTGTAGAAATATTCATAAACTAAGCACTCTGTCTTAGATATAAACACAGTCTCTCAGACTCATTTGTTTCCAAAAAAATGTTAAATTTTACTCGTTTGGTAATATAGAAGTAAGAAATTTAAAAATTAGGGTCTTTTTCAACTATAGCTTTATCTTACGTTCATTTAAGATGTGCTTTGCTATGCAATTACTTATTCTACTGGACAAAGACTGACACTACTTTAAACATTTACCTTTTGATATGTCTTTTTCTATTTATCTCATTCTGAGTTTAAAAATTTATTTGACTTTTGTTGTTACTTGAATACTGAGGATTTACATTACTGATATACTGAGAATTCAGCACATTATGGTACTTACTTCAGATTATAAAATAAAAACCACACTGTCAGAATCACTGACAACATACTGTCAGATTTTTTCCACTACAATGGAAGTGTCACCTTTCAGAAATACAGTTCAGCAGTACTTGCCTATCCAGATACTTATTTTTCCAGAACAAGTTTCTTCCTATGAAACAGCACTTTACAATATAGACTTAAACTAAGAATGGTGTGGTATTGTGTGGATCTTTGTGCAATATAGCTGTTTGGTGACTACTGTGTGATTTACAAAGCTTGCAGGTGTGAATCATGTAGACACTTTTTAGATAGCTAAAGCTTTAACAAAAAGGCCTTGTTTAAAAATATTCTGCAATGTAATTGTGATGTCTTTTTTTTTTCTTTTTTTAATAAAAGCTGAAAATACAGTAGGTTGGTCATTCACGTTATTACATTGCAGCTCTGAAGTACCCTGGTTGAAATAATTCTTACAATAGATGACAACAGGTGACTTGTGGGGAGAAAGTCTGCCTGTATACCACTACCTTTAATTTTAGGAGGATGGAAGGGTCTAGTTTGGACTAACTGCCTCATCAGGCTTTTACTTAAGATGCTGATGTTAGGAACTTGGCTGCCTGAGGCTCCCTCACTGTGCAGGGGAGGAAAATGCATCCAGAAGGAAGTTGGCTCTTGGGCATTTCAAGGGCACCTACCCATCCCTGAGTGCAGGAAGAAGCTGGTGCTTAGCTCTCCAGCCTGAGCAGCCCAGTCAATTGACTTAAGTTAGGTTGGATGGCCCTGCCTTGCTCTGCAATTCTGAAAACTGGTGCCCCTGCTGAAATCTGTGTCTCTCTGAAAATTCCATGTTGGCACTTGTTGATGCTGCTGGTTTCAGGATGTGGTTGCTGCTGT